GGCTAGGAGCTGGAACCAACTTCCAAGGGAAGTGGTGCTGGCCCCTACCCTGGGGGTCTTTAAGAAGAGGCTGGATGCCTACCTGGCTGGACTCATTTGAGTCCCGTTTCTCTTTTGGGGTTTTTTGTTGTTCTCCCGCCCTGGCGGGGGGTCGGGCTAGAAGATCTACTAGGTCCCTTCCGACCCTTAATCTATGAATCTATCTATGAATCTATTTAAGACTGTGTTCCAGCTATATGGCCTAGGTTTTTTTTCCCTTCTTCAAATGAAATTAGATGTGCAGCTGTTACATTTCACAAATTGGTAATGTACCCAATTCTATTGCAAGTCTTGCAAAAAGCGTGTTTTATCCTTAAAGCCATCACTTCTGGAGGCTAGTGAATGCACAGAGACCTCAATTTTCATTAAAAAAATAAAATGTACCTATGCCTTATGGGTGGAAAGAGGCATCTGAAAAATGTGAAATTAGTATGATTAAGATGCAGACACCACAAGGCAGATAAAGAGAATCCAATTTTTAAAGTGTTATGGTTCCCAAATCAGTTGTATGCTTTTGGAATGTTTCTTGTTGGATATACTTCATTTGTTATACTTGCCAGAAAAGCTTCCTACTTGTCCTTGGTGAATGGATTTTGCAAGGCTCATCTAGCTATTTAATGTCAGGAACATGCTACACATGAAGCTTGAAATATTGAACAAAATCTTATTAGGTGTTGTTATGAATTTCTGATGCTAGTTATTATTGTTCATAACTTTGAAAATTTAGATTTTTGTAAAAGAATTGTGACAAATTATAAAAATTAAATTTCCAAGTTTTTAATAATTGTTCAATTATGACAGCACACAGAGATACTAAAGACTGAACACACGCATGACCTCAGCAGTCCAGCAACAGACAGCCTACAAGTTCTAGGAGAGAGACTAAGTTCCCAAATAACGTGCATGTAGTAAACAAAATACAACCCACCTGCAGTTTGCCCCATAATCTGCATTTATCACAGCCAACACAATCCATTATGCGGGATATGTTCTTGAAATGAAGCCGGAATTCTTCCTACCAATAAACGCATAAAAGAAGTTTCCATATAAATGAGTCTTTAAAAAGCCCAGCATTTTCAAAATTTATAAAACATCAGCTTTCCTAATATAGTACTATTAGGAAGTACTGTTCTACTATTAAATACTATAGTAAATCAACTTGTTTCCCTACGAGAGTTCCTGTAAAAGATTACAATGTAGGTATTCAGAGATAGATATGCAGCTAATCAGCGAAAAACAGAAAACCCCATCCACTTACGTAAGGAGACAAAATTAATACGGAGCAAAAAAAAGTTGTTTTTATAACTTATCCAAAGCATTCATTTAGAGAAAATAGTTAGGCTAGAAACAGACAACTAGCTGTTTTGTAAGCAACCTTTAAAATACAAATTGAATTGTCACACTAATATAATGAATTAGTATGAAACAAATTTGTACTAATTTAGTGAAAAAGTTTCTGTAGTCATAATGTGATACAAATCAACCAATTTTGAATAAATGGCCACACAACAATGGAAGACAAAGTAACCTGGATGAAGTGAAGATTAAGTCTTTGCCTCTAGGGCAGGAGTGGGCAAAATATGGTCCACAAGGGATTTCTGCAGTCCACGGCAGGTCCCCTGGGCCACTTGACCCAGGCATGGGGGGCAGCCTGGGGTGTGGCGCATGTGGCTGGTCCCTTCACCCTCAAGCACGTAGCAGAGCTGGGGTAGCATGGCAGCTAGACTTAGCTTCCTAGCAGCCCTGACGGTGGTGTCTCCTTCTGGTGACTACTACCAGTGTCACTCCCAGCCCCCCTGCCCAGGAACCCCAGCCTGTCCACCCTGCACCCACTGCTGGGGGCACCAGATGGAGTGGGCAGTTTGCCTCAGTGGAGACCGGCCCAGGACCCCGGTGGGCTAGGCATGCTCATCCAGGTGATGAGATGGGACCACAGGCTGGAGAGGAGTGACATTCGGAAGCAGAATGAGCGGGGAGATGGAGGGGCAGGATCACAGGGTAGTGACAGCAGGGCAGAGCCATGATCCACTCCCTGCAAGGCCCCTTAGTGTCACCTCCCTGCAATCCTGACCCCAGCCCTGCCTGCCGCTCTGTGCCTGCCCACAGCTCCATCCCATCTGCTTAGCGGAGCGCACCCTGCCTGTGAGGGTCTCAGGCGTCTCCATGGAGACCTCACCCGCCAGGCACTCCTGAACCAGTCTAGTAATGTACCACTGACCCAGCCCACAGCAGCTCACCAAAACTCCTTAAGTGGTCCTCCAGCTTAAATAACTGCCCACCCTTGCTCTAAAGGCCCTGCTACGCATTCAAATTAAAGCTGGATAAAAACTACTATAAAGTTGTCACACATTTTCAAGCACTAGCTTTACAGTTGGGCAGCTCTTTTTATTGATGGATAGTCATTTTTATCATCTGATAAATTTTGCATGTGTTGGCTGGTCTAAATGATTGCACTAGTCACCAGTTAATTGCATAATATATGTAATGTGTAGTAGGGGCCTAAGTTTCAGGTCTTCCTGATGTGAAACTTGCATTTCAGTTTCTTTGAAACTGAATTACTTCTGCCCACCCACAAAATGTTGTTAAAAAAAAGATGCCCTATAGGGAACATTCCACATAAAAAACAATGCTCTTTATCATGATGATTAAGGAAGATGTGGCTTGCCATAGTATCCACAGCAGAAGACATTTCAATGTCCTGGGCTGAAGGTACTACAAAGTAACTCTTCAGCTACCTTAATGGAAATGTTCAGATACCTAACACACTTATTGCAAACACATGGCAGATTGACTCAATTTAATCTTTGTAAGACCTCTGTACAAGGGTCACCCATCATTAAGATTTATTAAGAAACTGCTTGTCATTAAAACAATATTATGACTTTTAATCATTAAATAAACAACTTAAAATGCAGATGTATTGTAGAACTTTACCTTCAGTGATTTGGCCCCTTTTTTATCTCCCGCAAACATGGACTTTTCATCAAAGTGCATAGTGAAAGACCTGATCAAACAAATTAAAGATAATAAACTTTCGCAACAATTTACCATCCAAGTTCACAAATGCACAATTTTGCAAGTATTTAGAACTTTTTGCTAATGTATATTGATGAAAAAAGCATGACAGCCTGTGTGGCAGCAAAAAAGTAATGCACCTGCACATACAGATTAAATATAATGAAGTACAAGGCTAAAATCCTAATCCTCTGGGGTACTTGAGATGTACATTAAATCAATAATTATATCTAGCCATCTGATTCTCAAAATAAAAAAAAATGGTTTTCAGAAATATTTAAACTCTTAATACATAGAAAATAATTCCTAGAGCTGATCCTGTTAAAAGTTTTTAACATTTACAAAGCCTAGATGCTGCATTTTTTCTAGTATTCAATAGAATTGTTTATACTATTAACTGGAATAGAGCAAGGTAAGGCTTTTGTTTAAAAAAAAAAAAAAAAGTTTCTTAATAGCTCTGACAAACTTTTCCACTCTTTGGCACCTTCATTTCTCGCTTCCAGCTTCTCTACTTTCCCACAGTCCCCACTTCCTTCACCCTGTTGTTCAATACACATTCTCTATCCAAAAGTCACTTCTCCCAGAATCTGGTTGGAAATTTCACATTATTAGTAAAAGACCCCATGTCTTACTTTGTGTCTCTGAAGATATCCAACAAGAGGGCTTTAGATTCAGCATCCTCGTTGACATTTCCAGTGTAAAGGTCTACAATTGAACGCTCAAAGTATGGTGCAACCTTTGACAAAGCACGTAGCTCAATCAAATATAAGAAATATAAGTTTTTGAGCCTTCTTAGCCCTTCTCCTTTTGTTTCAGTAGAATCAAAGCGACGAACGAACTCTTTTACATTAGGTCCCCAGCTAGGCTTTCCCCAGGTTTCTAACCAAAGGAAAAAACATGGTAAAGGTTGTAAACATAGAAAAATAGTGCTTTTTATGCACACACACCTGACTGCTTAGAGAAAAAAAATAAGCTGAACTCCAACAGTAGCATAAAATAAGAACATTCAGAATTTTTACTCGATTATCAGTTACCTTCAAGAAGAGATTTCGCACATAGATGTAAATTGATGCTAGCGTGAAGTCCAGAAATAAGTTTATAGAATACTCTTTTCTCCAGACAAAGACCTGTTCAGAAAGATTAACTGCATATCAAAACACTGTAACAAGTTAAAATAACGCTCTATGAAAATTTAATAGAAAAAGTTTGTATCGTTCCACTTGGGTGGAAGAGAAAGACTAAAACTAGACAAATAGAACCGCAGAAGTCTAAGATTGCTGGGTATGCATGACAACTTAATGTTTAGTTAGAAGGGATACATTTCAAACAAAAAGGACTGGAAAATACACAAGTCATCTGTCAAAAGTCAATTCCCTGGGTGCATGGAAGTGGGAAGAACATCTTGAGCACAGCAAGTCACTGAATATCTTCTCATCACAAAAGGTGTAATGTTGGCACATACAAGAGGGTTACAACTATCACCAACAACGAGATAAACTAACTCAGAAGTACTAGTAACCAGGAAAGAGCCGCAGACCCAACAGTGCATAGTACTAGCCCTGGAAAACAGAAATACACTGTTATATTAGCCTTACTTTCGCTTCCTCAAATGGGTATCAAATGCAATGGGGACCTGCACTAAAAGACAGTCTAGAGTGGCCTTTAGGAACCATTTAAGGAAAGTGGTTGCAAGAAATAAGATGACATGGAATAGTAGTGTAGGGCATTCAGTCCCTTATGAAAGAAGAGACAAGAAAGCATCTGCTGAGATCAAGTTAATTAAAAAGAAAATCCGTATTCTGAATCAGTGTTTTTATGGTGCACAGAGCGCACAACAGATGCTTATGATGCTTCCACCTTTACTGCATCCACCCCAACAGCTTGAGTCAACTCCCCCCCATTACCAAATTAAACTAGAATGGAAGATTATATTACCAGGAAGTATATCCTCATTTTAAAGCCAATGTTGCTGTATACTGAAAGGCACATTTAAGTGCTAAAAGCAAAATAAAAAGTGTTTGCTACAAAACAAAATTAACTATTCAATGGCTTAACTACACTTTCTTGCAGAATATTTTTCCACCCATCTAGGATACGTTTAATTTTAAACCTGCTTGGTCTTTACAATCAGTAACAGACAGTTAAAATCAAGAACCTGTTTAAGATGGAAAACAAGAAATCCAGTTTGCCTGGGAGACAAATATCAACTACTATCAACTGTTTTACAAATGTGAATACCTGTCTAGAAGAAGCAGGCAATTTCTCTAGGAAGACAAATGTACATTTGGAGCTATTTCAAAGGGAAAATGTTCAATAGGACAACAGCTATAACATTAAATGGTTGTGTGGGGCCAAGCTGGGAGCTCTACAAATAAAGCAAAACCACTTGCACATAATCCTGAATGAAGCATGGTTAAAGCTGGAGAACCCATACAAAGAGATAAGCCCAGCTAAATAGCCCACAGACTGATTCCCAGAAGGGCTAAGATAACATGATAGGGTAGTGACAAGCATCTCCAAATGATGTGATCACCTATGCTGGGATGCATCCCAGCACAGCTGATCCCCTTCAGTGGATGAAACACGTGGCCCACTGATACTGCAGGGAGAGAGGCATTGTGTTCTCTTAGGACTTGAGGGACTTAGTCCTGCACACTCCACCTATTCCTGTGAAGGACTGGGCCTCTAAAGCCCTGGGACTGCCTGCCCAGCTTTCCCCATTACTGAGATGTGTCCCTGGGATCTTTGGGGTATGTCTCTTGGTAAGTGGGGAAAACCAGGCAGGTGCTTTGGGGGCTGGATTCTGCCTGGGAATTCCTGGGCTGCAAAAGATTGGGCTGCTCAAGTTTCCAGATACCTGCCTGGGGTGGCTGAAGTGTGGGTAGCTCCAGCTGCCTGTGCTACCCTGCCATAAAGCAGATAAACTGGATGTCTGCCACAATAAAGTGACACCGCTTATTGCTACTTTTTGTTGCACAAACCCCATATCCACCCAGAGATGGGGATTTTGGCACAGATGCTACGGATATAAGATGAAATTTTAAACAGTAACTAATTTCCCATAATTCTGAATGTTTCTGTGAAAAATTCCCTGGGATGTAAATTTTATAGCAGCACAAAGGTGACAAAAGATACCCATTGTCCATTCTTGGTGCTGTGCTTAAGAATATGAGCAAGGGACAGCTAGCCGAGCGCAGACTATAAGGCATAATATAGGCTGCATACAAACATTCAATTCTAGCAGTGTAAATTTTCCACCACAAGAAGTTATACTGGGAAAGGGAGTAGTACAGGCATTCAGTCTACAATTACTCCCTCTACTCTGCTCCTTGTGCCTTCCTGAGGCTGTGGTGATCCCAGTCTGGGGACAGTGTAAGCTGCTCCACTCTGCTCAATCCTAGGCAACTGGAGCAGCAGGGCAAAGCCACCTGCCTACTTCTCACACCAGAATCCCCAGTGAGAAACAGGCAGAGGGCTGTGCTGTTCCCTACCCTTGGCTCTTGGTGCCTGGAAGCTGAGCAAATCAAGCAGCACAGCAAAATCTGCTTCTCACACTGAGAACCTATCTATCTGTGTGCATACGATACTATGTTGACCTACATATTGCATAGGATTACAACACATGAAACAACATTGTGTATAAGCTCACAACTTGCAAGTGAGGAGCACATCCATTCATCCTATGCACTACTGCCCTAGCACTGTTTCTCTATGGCTAAATATGCCTGCACCACTTGGGGACGCTCAAGTCACACTAAACATATTGACACAACCCTAGATGATATATACAGAATTATAAACAGGTTATCTAAAACCCACCTCTGTTCCTTTCCTATACACACTATCCGGCAGAGTGTCCTTTTAAAAAAAATCAGGAGGAAATTAGCAGGCAACATGGACCAGCAGCTGCAGGAGTCATGATTTGGAGTTGGAGATGACCAACACTATATGGACATCAACCAGTACACTGTCATCTCTCATCAAGAAATAGCTTTTTGTCTTCTACCCTACCACATCATTGACTACATCACCAGAATCAGCCAGAACTAACCTCTGGCAAAAAAGAATGGGAGAAACTAGGTGAGAAAGCTGTTGAATGGAGCCAGCAAGGAATTAGCATGTTGTCAACTACAATGGCATACATGGCAGAGCCTAAAAAGATTGAGAACGGGTCTCAGAAGATGCAACTTTATCATGAAGTCAGGGGGCCTCTATGAAACCAACCAAGAAAAGCAAGCCATGAATCATCTCCTGAGATACCATGTAGTACTACAATATACCCCATAAGATTTGGAAAAAGATTTGGCCTGTGCAGAATATTAGAAACAGACCATACAGAAAGGCTTGGAGACATGACAAAGACAAGGGCACTGGGAACAGAGTGAGAAGCAGGAGGGGAGCAGATAGCAGCTGCTTGTCTTGTCTCCTCCCAGTTTATGGGAAGCAAGGGAGCAGCTGCCCCCTGCACCTACTCCAGATTAGGATGACCCCAGCCTCTGGAAGGCAAGGGAGCCTCTCCCTTGGATCCACTCCTCTTAGTCACAAGGAGGATTTAAATCAGGGGAAATGTGTGCAGACATTCAATCTCCCAGAAGCAATTTCTACCTTGTAGTTATATTAATTCTGGAACTGCCATTTTTGTTCTGGGAGAAAACACCTGAATGTCTGCACACTTTTAGTGTCTAGTGGGAGAGGGGCCTGGTAGAAACTGAACATCTTTACAAGGCCACAGATGTGGAAAAGTAGCTTACATGGTTCAGGCTACCTACGAATCACCAAAAGGTCAACCCTAAATATTAATGTCTCTCCTCTTAGAAGAAAAGAGCATCTTTAAAAGGAATTCAAAGAAGGTGATTTTAAGTTAGATGCAACTGAATAAAGAGGTTATTCATAAGCCTTTATGCAAGCCAGCTGACTAAATAGTATTTATATAATTTATCAGGACATTGTTATCTCCATTACCAAATCCTATTCCCTAGCAACAAATTTGTTTTCCTGTTGAATTGTCTGTGATATGAAAGTGAATTCCAAACAGTGTCTTAATGTCTTTGTAAAGATGCAGCATTTCGTACACATCCTACAGACACTGGTTTATTAAAAGACAATTACTGCTTTGGAATCAACATCTTAGTGGCACCCACTAAGCATATGGTGAAATTGGAAGAGCCAAGCAGCACTGTTATATGCTTTTTTAAAATGCAATTAATATTCATTTTAAGTATTAGGTTGACTTTTACCTTCTAGCCATGTATAGAAGCCTTCACCTGTAAACACAAAATATTATGTTAAAATCTGTAAGTATTCATAAATATAACACTTTGTTTAATGCAATTATTTACTTTAGTTATTCAAATCACAAGACACTAAAATACTGAAATAGCTTAAACAGAAATATAGCTTCCATTACTGTAGTCCTAACGAGCAGCATAGCTTTTGATACCATCTCCCACAACATTCTCTCAGGCAAGCTAAGGAAGTACAGGTTGGATGAATGGACTGCAACGTGGAGAGAAATCTGGCTGGAGCATCGGACTCAGTGAGTGGCAATCAATGGCTCAACATCTAGTTGGCAGCCGGTACCAAGTGGAGTGCCCTAGGGCTTGGTCCTGGGGCTGGTTTTGTTCAATATCTTCATCAACGATCTGGAAGATGGCATGGAGTGCACCCTCAGCAAGTTTGCAGGTGACACCAAGCAGAGGAGAGTAGTAGATACGATGGAGGGTAGAGCTAGGATTCAGAGTGACCTAGATAAATTGGAGGATTGGGCCAAAAGGAATCTCATGAGGTTCAACAAGCACAAGTGAGAAGTCCTGTACTTAGGATGGAACAATCACCAGTACAGGCTGGGGGCTGACTGGCTGGGTAGCAGCTCTACAGAAGAGGACCTAGGATTTACAGTGGACAGTAAGCTGAATATATGAGCCAGCAGAGTGCCCTGGTTGCCAAGAAGGCCAACAGTATACTGGGCTGCATTGGTAGGTGTGTTGCCAGCAGGGCAAGGGAGGTTATTCCCCTCTATTCAGCACCGGTGAGGCCACATCTGGAGTACTGTGTCCAGTTTTGGGCGCCCCACAATAGAAAGTATGTGGACCAATTGGAGAGTCTCCAGCAGAAGGCAACAAAAATGGAGGGGGCTAGGGGACATGACATAAGGAAAGGCAGAGGAAACTGGGCTTATTTAGTCTAGAGAAGAAAGGACTGAGGGGGGATTTAATAGCAGCCTTCAACTACTTAACGTGGGGTTCAAAAGAGGATGGAGCTAAACTGTTCTTAGTGGTGGCAGATGACAAAACAAGGAGCAGTGGTCTCAAGTTGGAGCAAGGGAAGTTTGATATTAATCAGAAATTCCTCACTAGGAGGGTAGTAAAACACTGGAACAGGTTACTTAGAGAGGTGGTGGTGGAATCTCCATCCCCGGAGGTTTTTAAGACTCAACTAGATAAAGCTTTGGCTGGGATGATCTAACTGGGGATGGTCCTGCTCTGAGCAGGGGGTTGGACTAGATGACCTCCTGAGGTCCCTCCCAACCTTAACTTTATGTGATTCAATGATTAAGTCTGTTGATTACTATAGCTTTTTAAAACTAGAAATGAGATTTATTTTTCCAAGAAAAAGCTAGTACTTTGGAATAAGACCATAGCACTCAGGATTTGCTTTAAGAACTTTTGTTTGTTACCTTTTATAATATAAGAATTATACCAGTAAAAAATAATTAAAAAAAAAGCAGAGAGAAAATTAAAATCTGAAGAGGCAAAATTATAGCTGTACTTGGAATTTGCAGAGTTCTCTATACAGAGGAGTGCATTAGAAGGAAAATACAGAAAAACATCTTTAAAAAGTAAAAAAAAAAAAATACTAGTTGATGACAATATACTGAACTTACTTATCCATTTACAAGGAGACTTAGAAGTGTTATTCATTCTGAGGACACTGACATATCCCAAACAAAATCAAAACATTAAAGACAAATCATTTCTATTCAGTCTTCCACATTATTCTAGTAAAAGGTTTTTTAAAGAACCAGCTATACCTATAGCTGGTCCAAAAAAAAAAAAAAATCTCAAAACTGG